GTTTTTAATTTTGTATTCATTAACTTGCTTTAATTTACGTTTCATTAACTTTAATAATGTGCAATACTGAACAACCTAGATACGCGTAAATTTATATACTTCTTACTTTGCGGGATATCGTCTTTTCTATTATTTAACTGATAGACTCATTTAGAAGGAAATTATAGTATATCTAATCCTTTAAAATTTCTCATACAATTTGAGCGTGCATTTGTATAATTAGATTACAGAAATATGATATAAATTTTTTATATTTTATAACTTGTCCTGTTGAGTTATTGCAGAAAATCACTTGTATATTCCGTTGTAAACCGATATGATACGACAAAGATTTACCGATTCTATTCTTGTAGATGTATTTATTTCATTGTGATATATCGCTGATACATGGTCATAACAGGTAAACAAAAGATGAACTGATGACTATCAGTTTACTTGATACAGAATCATGTTTCACTATCACTTCAGTGAAATATAACACAGTTTATATCTGGCCAATGTAATTTCTTATAACATATTTAAGAATCATTATTGGCTTATAAAAATATTACAGGTCTAAGCAGGATAGGATTCGATCTGCACTAAGAAGGACCTGACATACATGACATTGATAACCACTAAGTGATCAATCAGTTGTCATTACATCTCACTCCTATAGGAGGTCGGTCGCAGCCCGGATAGTGTCTCTGGCTGTGAAGCTGGGTGATAAGGGATCGGACCCGTCAAGAAGCATCAGCTCCCTCATAATTACAGGTACACCTTGCTGACGAATGTTAAGTAGCTACTCTTCTTGAAATTCATACAACTTTCGTAGGATCTTATGTATCGTTTGATCGTATAAACAATATTAAACTAAATAAAATGTTATAGATTCAATAGTGCCATACATCAAACTATTATTATGATTATTATTATGCTTATAAAATTTTATATTAAAATATGAGATATCAATGTTATGGCCATTTCGTTCATTATCTTACACTGCAGTCATCCATATAATGTACATACTTACTTACTTACGCCTGTTACTCCTCGTGAAGGAGCATAGGCCGCTCACCATCATTCTCCATCCAACCATGTCCTGGGCAATCCTTCTCAGCTCCTTTCAGTTGTTATTCATCCTTTTCATATCTGCTTCTATTATCCGACGTAATGTGTTGTTAGGCCTTCCTCTTTTCCGCTTCCCTTCAGGATTCCAAGTTAGTGGTTGTCTCGTGATGCAATTTGACGATTTGCGTAATGTATGTTCTTTCCATTTCCATCGTCTTTTCCTAATTTCTTCTTAAGCTGGAAGCTGATTTGTTCTCTCCCACAAAAGGCTGTTGCTGATGGTATCCGGCCAATGGATGTTGAGTATCTTGAGAAGACAGCTATTTATAAATACTTGTACCTTCTTGATGGTGGTTGTTGTAGTTCTCCAAGTTTCAGCTCCATATAGTAGAACTGCCTTGACGTTGGTATTGAAGATTCTCACTTTGATATTGGTTGAAAGTTGTTTTGAGTTCCATATGTTCTTCAATTGTAGAAATGCGACCCTTGCTTTGCCAATCCTTGCCTTTACGTCTGTATCTGAGCCTCCTTGTTCATCGATGATGCTTCTTAGATATGTGAAGGACTCTACATCTTCCAAAGTTTCGCCATCAAAAGTGATTGGATTGCTGTTACGCTCATAACACCTCATGTATCATGAGCAACCGACTTTAATTCACCAACTAACTCTGTCTTGTGCTCTCCTTTCATTTGTTTTCAAGTGTAATTCATTATTCTGAGGTTTATCACTAATTCCAGAAGAATTCTTTTCTATAATCTGTCTCTTTTCCTTTTAATTTCATGATTACAAGTTAAGACTTGCCTCGTGAAGTTGTTTGATAATATTCGCAATATATTTCCTATTCAAATAACATGCATAATTTTTCTACTAATCTTCAAAACTTCAATACATGTTCATTTATATTTTAAAATATACATTTTATTTATCTGTCACTATTCAAAATATATATTCAATGTACCGTTAAATAACTATATATAACCATTGGACTAAAAGTGTAGAACATTTCTATTGTTCTGTTTTCATTCCCCTTGTTCTTCTCAACTATTTGAATTTGATGAGTTTCTTTTTCTTGTCTCATCTTTTTTTTATTTATTTCAAAAAAACATCAATATGTTGATTATATCATAGAAATATTGATGAATAGAAAATAGAAGAGAAAAAAAAAGTGCAATAATATCTATAACAGTTAAATGGAAACAAACAAAAGTGTCATGTCATATTAATTTACGTTACAGTTAACTTTGTTGAAGTATCAAGTTTTTTTCTTTAACAATGTCAATAACAGAATAACAATGACACGAAATGTAACACTTTTTTTTTCTTTTTATTTGAATGTAACTAAAATATATACAAGTATTATTTAGTTATTTGTAGTTAAATGTAAAATACTTTTAAAGAAATAAATTTATATTGATATAGTAACCATGTTGATTGGTGAGAACATTTTGGTTCATGTTTAAAATATTTTTATATTATTATATTGAGTGACATGGTTTAGAATCGATCACAGTAGTTTGAGTGTATACACACTTATTGTCTTCCCTTAAACCGTGAGAATAAAATTGCTTTATAACTGGGGTTTCTTTTCTACAAACTAATTGTTTCTTCTTGTATTATAGCGTTATACATAATCTTTCTTTTATATATTACTACCATTGAAGTAATCACCTTTATGAATTTTATGTTTATCTTATTGTGCTAATGAGGTGTAACAACTTGGACCGATGCATATATGTGCCTGGTTTTACTCTCTGAGCTGAATGGTTTAGTCATGGAGCTTTCATTGTTCTTCTGAACGACATCATCAGTACAAACATTAGATAGAAGTGAAGTGTTCGAATTTCACCATTTGTAGTTTACAGATTGTCCTGTAGACCTCAATGTTGATTGGTTCTTGTTGACCTTAAACTTGTCATTATTTATTTCTTTGTTTTGGTTGTATCTCCCATTGGTTTGATTTTCGTTCCTATGTTTGTGAATAATTCTCCCGATTGATTGATAAATTGTATCGATTTTAATGTGCTTGTTGATTGCTCATTGACCTGAGTACCCAGCTTCTAAAAATTCTCTGGTGTTTTTCGAATTTCCTCTATCCAAGATTTTTACATTTTTCCAGTCAAATGAGTGTTCACAGTTGTCCGCATGCCTGGTTTTACGTTGTAGCTTACTGACTGACTGATATTGTCATTTAAAAATATAATAGTTGAATTCATGAGTCAATTAAAGCTAGATCATCATGGAAAACCTGGGAGCACTGGACGTTCGTTTCATCTTAGTATGAGACTCCTTAACACTAAACATCCACGATTTCGCCTCGCAGGATTCGAACCCAGAACCTATCAGTCTCGCGCGCGAACCCTTAACCTCTAGAACACTGAGCTCTCATCCAGTGGTGTTAATGTCTAACTTCAACCAATTCAGAAATTTATTTCTATTGTAATATTTTTAAATTTTTCAAATGAGTAAAATGGTATTTTAAAAATTTTACACAATTTTTTTATATTTCATATTATATTGAGTTTGTAAACATTTTTACCAAAAGCGTATTATTCAATCAGTATCAATAACACAGTCATCTAAGATTAATTGTTTACAAATCATTTACTATTCTTTATATTGTACTTACTTAGTTACGCCTGTTACTCCTAATGGAGCATAGGCCGCCGACCAGCGTTCTCCAACCCACTCTGTCTTGGGCCTTCTTTTCTAATTCCATCCAATTCTTGTTCATTTTTCTCATGTCTATTTCCATTTCCCGGCGTAATTTATTCTTTATATTGTATATATTGTAAATCATCAAATAAGACCATATAAGTAATATGAAATTGTCCTACTGATTGATTCATTGTATTCATTTCTGTTTTTAGAACATTTTTTACTAAAGCGATTATAACATGAAAGCATTAATATAATTCGATAAGTATTTATGAGTATTCCATTAGAAATGTACGCTACAGTAGATCATCTTAAATCTACATAATGTAGATTTATAAGTATTAGAAGTACCAAATGTAATTCTATTAGTAAGTTGTTGGTCAACTAAATTATAACTTATTAAGGTATTAAATTAAAGTAAGAATGCTTAATGACATAATATTAACTCAGTATTAGTAAAGATGTTGATTTATTATATAAGTTATTTCGTATTGCAAGTAGTTAGAACGAAATAAAATGAAACTAAAAAAATCCAGTTTTTCGTTTCTACCTATGAACATCTATTGGTTAATTTGCAAGCATAATTGTTAGTACGAGCTACTTAATATTTTTAATAGTTAAATTGGTTGAAATTATTCTATTATATTACGACTTACATATTTTTTTTCTCGGAATTCCGGTTTGTCAGTTAAACAATTACATTATGTGTGAATGTTTTGTTAATGATAAAGAATAACAGACTAGTTTGTATTTAAACAAGGTAGATTTAGGAAAATGTAGATAGTAACTAGCAGTGGAATCCAGGACGCGCGTTTCGTCCCATTCGGAACTCGTCAGCTAGATCTACCCACATCTCAGAATTGATGCTCACTCCTGGACTCGAACGCATTATCGCTTGCTTTGAACGCCATCGAGTTATCAACTTAGCTACTGAGTCCTGATAACCACTTGCTTGTGGAATGGGGTGAATCTTAAATTCACTTAGTGTTGTTTTACTTGTATCTTGCCACTGTTATTTAGAACTGCAATCGATCAGTCTCTTTGCATAAAAAAAGTTTACGACTTAAGGTTATACCTAGGCAATCCGCACAGGATGCATGTATGACAATAAGAAACTATTCACATTCCTACTTATCATAAACGGAATGATAGAATCATGTCATAATATTTTTTCACGAAGATTATTCGTTAAAATATACTCTCAAAACAGATCTATTTCTCACATGTGTGTACATGAATTATTTAATCTTGTTGCTTACAGAAATATTTTTTGCTTATTATCTAAAATGATCAGGTTTCAAATGGAATACCTGAACTACGTTTTGATAATATTGTAATTACGTTAAGTTCACTAAACATTTCGGATGGAAATTGGCATGTCTTTGAAGTTACATTTACATCAAGGTGAGTCAATTAATTTTATTGAGAAAGTGTTTAACGATAAAACACTGAATTTTTTTTCTATTATCACTTTTATGTATGATGAAATAGTACTGTTTGATGGGTTCGAATATAAATTTTAATTAATAAGTAAACAAGTATTTCAGTCAGTATATTCCATTTGGTAATATGATATCAGTTTAATCATTTTGGAAATCCTTGTAGAGTTTTCAAAAACAATGAATATGTGAACGGTCAATTGTTTACAATAACTTAGTCTTCAGACTCTACAGTTATAAGTCTATAATTAATGTGCCATTTTTTACAAAGGCCGAAATAAGCCATGCTGGTAAATTAGACAATTTTATATTCAGTATGAAAACATGGAAATTGTTGAACATAATTAAGATAATGAATTGACTAACGATCATGGGTTTAAGTTATGCTTGCGAGATCGTGGATGCTCACTGCTGAGGAGTCTCATACTAGGGAGAAACGGTCGTCTGCTGTTTCCAGGTTTTCAATGGTACTCTAATATTGATCGGTTCATGATTAGAATGTTATATGTTAAAAATGGTGATGTTTCACATCCGTTACTTCATAAATGCTTGAAAAATGTCAGTATAGTCGTTGTGAAGATTGTTAAGTTTTGATTGAGATCATGAACCGATTGATGCTAGACCACCATTTGAAACCTCGAAGCACTGGACGGCCGTTTCGTTTTATTGTGGGACTCCTCAGCAGTGCTCATCCAAGATCTTGCTCGCGGGATTTGAACCCTGGACCTATAAGTCTCGCGCCGGGCGCTTAACCAACTAGACCACTGAGCTGGCTGCATCTAACGATGTTAATGTCTAACTTCAACCAATCCACGAAGTTGCGCGACCATCTTCCATTGTACTGAGGTAGACACCTGTTTCTACCCAACACAGATTAGCTCTACTGGTCCACTGTGTCACCTGTAAATTAGGATGGTTGTTTATTAAAGGTCAGAATGATTCGTCACAATGTGTCTGTTTTTTAACCAGTATAATAATAATAAAATAAGATTAATATAATGCGAAGTAAGAGAATTTTTTCTTGGTAATTTTGTTCAAATATAATATGTATTAAGAGAGATACTATCAAGGTATTTATGATTAGGATTTGTGTGAATTGGAAAAGATGAATGTGTAGACTGAGAATGGAATAAATGAAGAAAAGATCGAGAGAATGAGAGGTTTATAATATCCAGTTTAGATGTTTATTCATCCAGTTATGGACCAAGGTTTAACCTATCTCTTTTCGATACATAAGTTAGGCTATTCGGAACTAATCCAGATGACTTCGGCTATGTAGAACAATTGTAATCTAGCTCTTTTAGATAGATTACCTGAAACTTGATATCATACAGAGAAGGCTTCATTTATTTTAATATAATGCTCACTATCTATCAACTGAGAACGGATGGAGCTGTTAATATACTTGATAACTTCCATTTGCGACTATGGTGTTACATGTTCACAAGTACACAAGGATAAAGCTTTCAGAGTATAATCAATCTAACTCATAACTGTAAAGCCTGATAACAAAGTTATTTCAAATAATTGTTCACCTTAATACTCTTTATTTCGAAATCTAGTTATGTATAATATCATGATTAATCTAAAGAAAATTTCATCCGAAATCAATAATTTTTCTGAGAAACATATGTTATTAAAAATTGAAGTAATAAAGTATCACAAAGTCATCGGCCTTTATCAAAGAGTTTTCTCTAAACTAAGAATATTCCCAAATCTAAAGTTTTTGTAATAAAAACACAGAATCGATATAAAGCTTGTTGATTAATTATTGAAGATTTGAACAATAAGATATTTTTTCAAAAAACAAACAAACAAATAGATATTCATGGAATTCAGTATATTGTACAACAGGAAGATTTAAAAACTTCTACTAACATCATAATAAACGATATAGAGTATTTATTGTTGTAATAATGATACTAACAATAATAATAATTTGTAATAACTTTTTCACATACTTGTGCAATTAGATTCGTTTAGTTGTTAAACAAATAAGTTAATTCATTAATTCTTACTAGTCAAGTTTCCAAGAATTTAAGGATGTTAAAACTTTGAAGTAAACATAAACTATTTGCAAGTTATGGTAGTAACAAATTAGTTAGTGGTTGGAGATAGTCGACAGAAAACCGTAGACCCGAGTTTCATGCTACTTGGCACTCGTCATCAAAGTGTACCTGTAATCATGAAGAAACTGGTGCTCCCTGGCGGATTCGATCTCGTATCACTCAACTTCACAGTCAGTGGCGTTACCACTGAGCTATCCGAGCTGCGACCGACTTCCTGTAGGACTGAGATGAGAGACACGCATAACATTGATCACCACCCAGTGATCAATCAGTTGTGGTAGTAACAAATATTTATTATATTCTATTAATCTGAGTGTTTCAGTGATTTATTCATGAGATAGAAGTTAATATTTATTAGTTGTTCAAAATACTCATGTCATGTTTTAATAATTATGTGTTCACAGTCAGAGATGTCAAGAAATTAAGCGATAACTTTAAGATTCACTAAATAGTGCACAATAAAAATGCTTCCAAACAAATATAAGTATGAATCGTTGGTAAGCTAGTGACAGATATTTCTAGTTTTTTACTTAAAAATACTGAATGAATATTAAACTATTTGTAGAATCATTGTTTAACGGATATGCATTTTGGATTCAATTAGCAACCAATCACCTTTATCAAGACTTAAAACATTTTTTTTCTTTCAAAAGATTTTTAGATTTTCAGGTCGATGAACTAGATAAAATATATTATGATTCAAGATATTTTCCAGAGAAATCAATTTCAAGAGGTTCAGTTGATATAATTATTGCAAACGGAGCTAAAGACAGTAAGTTTCATAAACGTTTTTCATAAACTAATTGATGTGTATTTGTGATCTGTAAGAACGTATTAGTTTACAAGATATACGAAACTTAATGAAATGAATATTGGTTGCATAGTTGGTGGTAAACATTTAAAGACGTATACGTTCGAAATATCAGAAAGTTTCATAAACAAAATACCATGGTGAGAAAATCACTGTAATTAATTTAAAATGTTTCACTAAGCGTTAGATTTGATAACTCATTATGTAATACAATTATCAACCTAACAGTGTTGGCTTGACTTTATATAGAAAGTTATGGAAAGTTAAGTGTTGATTTAGTGATTCGGAGGTCACTAATAATTTAATTTGACCCTTTAACAGTTTAGTCAGCAATATCTATTTTGTGAACTACATGACGTAAGCTTATAAAAAAACCCAAATGATTTCCCAAATCTACTAAGTTTAGCAGTTTACTATTGGAAGGTAAGATATCTTCTCAACGAAATTACCCAAGTATTGTCATTTCATTCCCCAATTTACACTATATCTATCAAACAATATATCTCAAGATCAACAATTATTCATAACCATTTATTATGATAAGAGATTGCCATGATTATTCGTTTAAGTAATTATGACCAAATTTGCTTGTCTCAATAAATTTACGAGTTAATTTGTTACGTATTATGAGGATTAAAACAGCAACTTCTTTGAATAGCATAACAAATTATACCACAAGCCTGTGAATTCAAATTGGTTTTCATTACATTATAGATTGAATGTAACGAGGCAATCGTCGAAAGCCAGAAAGCACTGGACACCTGCTTTACTCTGGTATATAACGCCTCAGAAAATTGAACTCATGAATTCACATGACATTGACCTAGAGATCTTCAGGTTTCATAGAAAACGCTTAATATGAAAATCTGAATGTTCTAGGTTCGGTCTCTATCAGTGTTGTAGATGTTTACTACTGAAAGGTAAGGCAGTAAAACAAAACAGCTTCTTTGGGCATTCCAGTTTCTATCTATCTTTTAACTAAAGGGATTATGTGCTTTAAACTAAAAATCAGACTGTCACCACAAATGTTCGACATCAATATTGATTGTTATTAATCATTTTCCGCTCACTATCCCATTACTTTCCTACTCCGTACTCGTCTGGCACAAAAGAAATCAAGTTGTATTTTACCGCATACCTACAAAATGATCAGAAATCACTCATTAGTTTATAGTGAGTCGTTTATTACCCTTTATCTATTTATAGCATGTCTGGATGATGCTTGGATCGATTTCCGTAATATATGGCCCGATTTTGAACAAGATTATCCATTGGAAATCATTAGTAATCCATCATTTCAACGGTATACAGACTGGGGTACAGCTGGTAGACAGTCAGGTTGTTCAAGTGGTCCTGGGTTTTGTAATAGTTCAAAAAGTCTTTGTGATATTACCGCTTCTTGTATAGAGGAATGGAGAAGTTATCGATGCGAGTATGTTTCTAGTTGATGTTAATTATTATTTGTAAGCTAATTAATTGTGCAATGTCCAAATACGTGCAGTGCTAAAACAAAACTGTGTCATTTTATTTGAAATTAACCATCTTTCTTTCGTAAAATTAGAATTCGTTTAAGAATACGTTGAAAATATACTATTTATGTGAATGAAATTTTCATACCTATAATTTACTAATTTCATGGGCTCTTACTATTCCGAGTTTATTTTCACTTGTGTAATATGATTGAAATACGTTTTTCAGTGTTATGATAAATGTCTTAGTTGTAAGTTCATTTGATAACTCTCAATCGTTTTACTGGTATACGGTGATGTTAGGTTAATAAAATTATTGACATAAACTTTCGATAACTATAGTCAGATGTTTAAGACTAATGAGGTACAATGAATCTAATAATGATAAACTGTGAAACTATTTGAAAATTCAGACTAACTTTAAAAGAGGAACAATATGACTTGTTGTTACCTTCATAATAGCCGTAATGTATGATTATATACCTGAATATATCCGCATTATCAGTTGGTTGCAGTGAAAAAATTCGCAATCATTAATGGTTTAAAACATTTTTCTATCTTTTTCATCGATCGGACTCATCTAATATGATAATTACAATAATACAATCAAGTAAATTAGTTTCAGTACCGAAATGTGATAAGTAAAGATTTCTAAAAGCATATTCACCTAAGTAACTTGCTTGTATTCACTCATTTTACCATAATCAGTAAAGTTAATTAATAAAACACGGAATTTCATTAGTAATCAAATGTTGAGTTTCATTGAAACATTAATCTTGTTTTTAAACATTGAATTACATAACAAATTTGTAATTATAATATTTTAATGCGCTTGTATTCGGAACGTTACTTTTTCGTTTAACAGTACAAAACAGAAGTGGTACTAAGTTTACTAACGATGAATTAATGAAAAAAAACACGATTCCATTGATGAAATTTCAAATTTTTTTTCCTAGATGCTTGAATAACACAGTTAAAGATGACAAGGGTAAATGTGTTCCATCACAATGTTATCCAAACCCATGTGTTAATGGTGAATGTCGTGTACTTAATGGTGCTAGTAATTTTACATGTATGTGTTATGGAATCTGGACTGGACCATTATGTAACGAAGTTTCAAGCGTAAATATAGCTGGTCTAAGTTGGTGGTGGATTCTACTTGTTGTTCTACTACTGCTAGCTATATGTGAGTCACGAAGTATTTTTTTTTCTTTCATCAAACATGTATTTACGTCGGTACTTGTAAACTGCTTAAATCTATCCGACAAATATGTATAGTTCACAGATTGAAATCATGAGTCAGTTGAAGCCAGACCACCATTGAAAACCTGGAAGCACTGGACGGCCGTTTCATCTCAGTATGGGACTCCTCAGCAGTGCGCATCCACGATTCCGCACCACGCGGGGCTCGAACCCAGGACCTACTGGCTTCGCGCGCGAGCACTTAACCACTAGACCACTGAGCCGGCACCCAACGGTGTTAATGTCTAACTTGAACCAATCCACGAAGTTGTGCTACCGTACACCATTGTCTTCAGTGAGTTCCTATCTCACAACAGACCTGGTTGAACTCCACTGGTAACGGCTTCTCAACTGACTCATGATTTCAATCTGTGAAATTTCTAAAATCTCCACAAAACCCATTCTGATATATATATATATATAATACGTAATCACGCCACCTAGACAAAACGATTGTCATAAAATCTTAAAACATTAATAGTAGATCCTTTATGATTCTTCTATTCTATAATATCCAGTTATTAAATTCATTTGCATATGCTGTTTAAACTTCTTCGGCAGAATTCATAAGAATTACTTATTCATAAGTCTTTTGAAATTCGTAACAAACACACACACACACACACAAAAGTCATGATATTTTTGATTTATGGAATAATAGTAAGATGATATAAATGATTCTTCACATTATGATGAATGTTACTTATTCTGTACGGGAATCATGTTTCTTCTCTTTTTTTTTCTTCGTAACTAAAGTTAAAAGGAATTACAGTTTATATTTATTACCTAGATTTGTTTTTGTTTTTTTGTTTTTCGAGTCATTTTTGTAAATCTGTTCAAAAATTAATTAAGCTTGTAATGAGTCTATAATTTATTAAGAATTTATAGAAAATATGATTAAGTAACTAAGGTGATTATGTGGAAATATCCTATACCTTTTTTTTTAAAATGTAGTTTATGAGTTATATATATATTAAGGTATAATCATCTAAGGAGTTTAATGTTTGAAGTGGTTTCTTGAAAAAAAAGATCCAAATAATAAACTTGCATCACATACATAAAGGTACATTTGAAAAGATCATTTTGTAGTAGTTTTGTTTTGTTAATCAATCAACTTGGTAACTGTTATTATATAAATATCAACGGTGTTTGAAATCAGAAGGCATTAGGAAGCAGCAACTATAGTTATAAGCATATAAAGCGAACTTGAAGTAGAGAGGTGAATGTGTATTTGAAAGCGAATATAGAGGTAAATTTATTGTCAAATCAAATAAGGCGCAGCTAGACAGGGCAAAGGCTAATAATAGGATTCGAGTACATATATACATGGAAAAAAGCGATTTACATTTAAGCTAGAGATATATGAGTATGCTGATATATGTAATCAAGCGTACACGTTGATACGGACAAGATAATGATCATAATAGTACAAGAAAATATCCAAATTGTTACTATATGAATAACATTGTTTGTTAAGTTAGTTAATAAAAGGGTTCAAGCAAAATTTAACTATAATGGAAATTGATTTTAGGAGAGTATAAAAATCATCATATTATTTTTTTATTAATTCTTTTAGTGTTGGCAACAATTTTTTTAATTATCTGTTGTCGCAAACGTCGTGAGAAGAAGAAATCTAATTTAATTGATTTTAACAATGAATTAAGTGATCAAAAGTTGGGTATAGATACTCAGATGAATGATCCATGGAGTACAGGTAATATATTTATAAGTTTTTGTTTTCAGAATTTATTTTTTGTATATTTTGTAGCGAACTCCTGTAAATACGCTGAAAAAGTGTTTTTTGATCAGTACAATTTTTGGATGGTTACAGTTTAAATATTTTTTGTCAAGCTTTTGATGTGCTTTTGATGCGTTTCATCTTGCTTGGAACTTGTCAGTTGGATGTACTTGGATCCGAGTTGGTGTTCACTCTAGGACTTGAACCGACTACCTTTCGTTTCAAACACCGCTGTGTTATTTACTTAGCTACTAAGTCTTGACTATACAGTGAGGGCGATCTCGATTTCAATTCGTATGTAATGATCATGTGAATCTTACCACTGATGTTTAGGACTACAGTTGATCAGTTTCATACATATATGCCGAAAAAGACTGATCAATTGTAGATCTGAACATCAATGGGCGATCCAACTAACCAATATTTTAGAACTGAAGTTATGTTCTGAAATAGTTTAAAGTAAAAACTTAAAGACAGTGAATGAAAACAGTCAAGATTTAAGCAACCGTTTTTTTAAACATATTACATTCCAGTCATTTGCATTTAGACAATGATTATCAGATCTATTATTAATGACATGACAATAGTGAATAAAATTAACCTATCCGTTTTTCAACTTGATTTATGTCCGACTGACGTCAAATGTTATTCACTAATCACTATTGTTCAAACGTTTTCTCGTGATGGAGACATTTACTTCCTGCATTTGTAGAAGATTAATGTGATTTCTTAGGCAGTTAACTTGTAATCAAGATGGTTATGAATTAAAAAATCCAGTCAAACGGAGTTAAGATTAACATGTAATTGAAATTTATCAAGTTGACATCAATGTGGGATAACAGAAACGGAGTTTAAATATTTGTTGTTACCACTAGTTAAATGTTCGGTTATAAATAACAACACTTTCTTATTTAAATAAACTATTATAACCTGAATTCATTGAGAACATTTCGTAAAAGGTATGGAGTAGCATCTATTTAATTTTTAGTCAAATGAGTTCCAATAAAAAGTATACAAATTTTTCTTTAATATTTATCGTTTCATTGTACTTTCATTGTTTATAATTCTAAATGCATTTAAGGTGAGAAAGATTTCCGTGGACCGATTGATTATTCAGTGTTAAAAGGAAATATTAATTCTAACCCGTATCAACTTACAACTAATGGGTCCTATCAGAGTAATGGTTACTTACCAACAAGTAGAAAATCAGGTAAATAAACAACATAGAGAGTGTATCATAATATTTCAATGAAAATTTACTTGGATATGCTTTCAAAATGCATAATCTAAATCGACGTGAATTTAGTTTTCCCAATAGAGTCTAATCTGTGTCAATTATCTACAATTATCCACCTCAGACAATGAAAGTAGTATTGTACACGATCATGGATTGATTAGAGATAGACAATAACACCGTTGGATACCGACTCAGTGGTCTAGAAATCAAGCGGCCGCGCGCAAGACCGAAGATTTGGGGTTTGAGTCCTGTGTGCGGGATCGCTGATGATCACTGTTGAGGAGCTCCACACTGGATCGAAACCACCACCCAGCGCTTACAGGTTTTCAATTGTGGTCTAGTTGATATCGACTCATAAATTCAACTACTTAAACTTCCCTTTGCTTTTGTATAAAGTCGTTTTAACTCAAGCATTTTTTAGCAATCACTGTCTTTTTTTATAATGTAAGACCCGACGATTTTTCAATGAATGTTGAAGAGCTGACTTTACAAATAAAATTATTAAATTACAGAAATTATAACTCAGTTATAGTGTGTTGTGAATGGTAGAAATATAAAATACAGCTAATTTAAATGCCTTTTTTAAAATTAATATTGGATAATAAATTTGAATTTTGTTAAAATTTCAAATAGAGTAGTAATTTAATAGTTGAATTCATAAGTCAGTTGATGCTAGATCACCATGGAAAACCCGGAAGCACTGGAAGGCCGTTTCGTTCCAGTATGGGAATTCTTGAGAGTGCGCATCCACAATTCCACTTTTCGTGATTTAAACCCAGGACCTATCGATCTCGTGTGTGAACGTTCAACCACCAGACTACTGATCTGGCATCCAATGGTGTTAATGTTTAACTTCAACTAATCCACGAAATTGCGCCATCGTCCACCATTGTCATCAATGAGTTATTATCTCACAACACACCCGGTTGAACTCTACTAGTACAGTAGCGTTTACATACTGTTTCATGGAATTTCGTAACTTAGCAAATTACTGTATTTCAGTGTTTTAACTCATTAAATGAAAGATGTATAATTTTTAATTGAATGAATTAATCATATCTATATAAATTTGTAAACCTATTAGACATGTTTGTTCTTCACAAGGTTGTGTTTACAAATATTTCATGATTTGATGCAGATATTTATACGCTAAATACAACAGTATATGTGATTGTAGGAAAGATTCGGGTGAAAATGTAAATGACTATTCAGTAATATATAATGTATCCATCAAACAGACGTAGAACGTTTTACGTTGCGAATCATATGAAATATTTATTTAACATAATCAGAAGTATCACCATGGTATGCATTGTTAGTACTTTACTTTTAAAAAAAATTGTTTTCCTCAACTTATCTTGGGTTGCTTGATTAATTCAGTTCAGTTTATCTAAGCGAATGTAGGTCATGTAAAATGATGAATATATTATATTTTCAACAAATGTAGCTTAATTGAACAGTTTATTATTTATAATAAAATAACATGTTAAATTATTTTACGATTTATTTTTCAGATACAAATGGAAGTATAGATATACAAACATTTCCTAGTGTTACAGCTCGAGCCTATGGACAAAAAACTACAGATATACCACCATGGGAGTCGTTTGATCGTCAACCAAATCCTGCAATAAGATTAGATCAAGTACTAGAATATGGATATGAAGGATATGATGGTAGACCTCCACCAGAATTCTGTCCAACTGAACCTGTTTTATCAACATCTTATGATGATTATGTTGGTGATGATGGAGATCTTAATATAGAAAATGTTCAACAATCAATAAAACAACCGATAGCCAATGGAAAACTGAATACTTTAAACAAATAAAACAGTTTAACATGTACATTATACTTTTATACTCGAACAATAACTAATAATCCATTAATTTCACTTCATATATTCGAATGATAAATTATAACTAACTAACTAACTAACCAACAAACCAACAAAGATTGTTTAAAAGAATCCTCAAACTTATTGAATCATAACAATAACTCTAATGATAATTCATTAATAAAATTATTGATACTTGTATAATGTGTTACATCGTTATGATTGAAATGGAACTTCTTTGTTTTTGTACAATTTAATTTGAATGTAAAAAAATTCCCGCCTAAAATTTTCATTTGTGAATAATTCTTTTCTATGTATTTGTTTTTATTCATTTTTGTATTGTCTTCATTTGCAATTCATAATTTTTTAATGTTTTTTGAAATTGTTTTAATGAAGTATAGAAAGATTCATTAGGATGAATTTATTTAAATCTTTTATAGTGTAATGTTTTTTAACGATATTTCAATCTATTGTATACATTACAGCTATTCGTTCATTATTAGGAATAAAGTAAACTATTTATACAGAATATCTTCTAATAAGTATTGTTTAATGAAATCTTAGAAGATACGATTTAAACAAATGAATATATCACAGGTTGAAATCATGAGTCAGTTGAAGCTAGACCACCATCGAAAACCTGGAAAACCTGGGTGGCCGTTTCGTCCTAGTATGAGACTCCCAACAACAGCAGTGCGCACCCACGATCCCGCACCCCGCAGGACTCGAACTCGGGACCTACTGGTCTTGCGTGCGAGCACTTAACCATAAGACCACTGAGCCGGCTGGCATCCAGCGGTGTTAATGTCTAACTTCAACCAATCCACGATGTTGTGCCACCGTACACCATTGTCTTCAGTGAGCTGATATCTCACAACAGACCTAGTTGACCTCCACTGGTAACGGCTTCTCACTAGAACTCCAGGAGTGTCTTCTGAAGTCAGTCACTAGTGAGCAGTTGATTATTATCAGAATGGGTTTTGTGGAGATTTTAGAAATTTCACAGGTTGAAATCATGAGTCAATTGAAGCTAGACCACCATGGAAAACCTGGAAGAACTGGATGACTGTTTCATCCTTATGTGGGATTCCTAATAACAGCAGTGCGCATCCACGATCCCACACCCCGCGGGATTCGAATATACGTAACTATTAAACAATATACAATGTGATAATTATATCGACATAAGATTGTAGAGATTGTTGAATTGCATTTGATATTATGAATGGATCAGTGTTAGTTTACCACTGAGAACCTGGAAGAACTGGATGACCGTTTCGTCGTAGTTTGAGACTCCTCAGAAGTATGCATCCATACAAGAACGAAACGGACGTCTAGTGTTTTCAGGTTTTCAATGGTGGTTTAACTTTGATCCATTCATAATATTAATTTAAACTTGATAATTATATATGTTATGAAACGTGAAGTGGTGTAGAAATGTACTGTGATAAAAAGACTGGATTAATACAGGGAAGTGATAAAACTAAAACTATGCAAAATCGTCAGTTTGAGTTTGATAGAAGGGTAGATACTTAATATACTAGATAGACCATTTCAATTTTTCAGTTTTAAGCAAAACAATACGGATAAACAATAATGAGCAGTGTATAACTGTACAAAAATCATACACATGCATTTGACAATCAGTATTTTGTATTCTTACGAGATCAGTAAAACAAGTGCGGGAAGGAAACTGTCGATCAAGGATTCACTTAGTTTTGTTTACTTGAATTTTACCATTGATGTTTAGAAATGTAATTGATCAGTATCTTATTGGCATATGTGCATACTGCGCGTATTGCCTCGATATAGCCCTAATTCACAAGTATTATATTCAAAGATGGACAGTGCCTAGCAGTAGAATCCAGGACTCACGTTTCTTCTTGTTTGGGACTCGTAAGCTGTATGTACCTGTATCTTAAATTTGATGTTCACTTTGGGACTCGAACCCAGGTAATATTGAGGCACATACGCCAATGAGTGACTGATCAGTTGTAGTCTCAAACATCAATGGTAAATTTTAAGTAAGCAATACCAAGTGAATTTAAACTTAATCCTATTGTACAAACTAATGCCTAACAGGAATCAGTAGTTAAGTGGATAACGCGATAGCGTTTGAAGCGAAGGGTATTGGGTTCAATTCCCAGGGTGAACATCAACTTTGAGATGCAGGTACATCCGGCTAACAGGTCCCAGATATGATGAAACGCATGTCCTGTATTCCATTGCTAGCCACTATCCATCTTTACTTATTATTGTCGGTCAAGAAGTATATAGAAACTCAGTTTTAGCTTCATCATAACGATAATCTAATCAACTGCCTACAGTAGATCAACTTCAGTTGTTCTTATTAAATCATTCTTGACAATTGTCAAAAAGATTCCTTTCATATAATCTAACTTGCCAAAGTTTATTCACAATAACTACATAAAACACATTTTCCTTTATTGTGTAATTTCTGAAAACCACATTGATATTAATAGTTTCAAATAATAATAAAGCTCTATTTTAAAGTCCTTAAAGAAGTTTAATTCATTTTAAGAACTGAATACCACCCAAACAGCCATATCAGTTATTCCTAATTAAAGTTATTGTATAACTTAAGGAATAACTTGATTGTACTTTTTAAGTAGTATCAATTAAGGAATACAGTCACACGAAATGAACATTAGTTATAAGTTATTAAAGATTATTTTAGCATCAGAGATATGTTTGAAACATTCTGTCAAAACTAGTAAATGGTTTGTGTTGGAAAATTCTCTATGTATAATCAACAAACTTATTACACATACATTTTTGAATAAAATAAGAATTAAAGATGAAAGGTATACTAACATAACATTTTGATATAGTGGGGAAGATTTATAGCTCAGGTGGATGATTATGATGGAAATAGGATGAAAGCTCTACCATCAAACCATTCAGCTTAGAGAACGAAACTCTATCAAAAAATTCATAACATTAAATGTACACCGATTATTCTAAAGTTTTTGAAATCTTAACTAAAATCTATTGTAACAAGTATATTGATCATACAACTATATGCTTAAAAAATAAGTCAATAATCAGTTTAACCTAAAGATGTATTACCATATGACTAGGTTATAAAGCTAATACAAATGATCATATATATAATTCATAGTAATTAGTGCGACGATATTGGTTTCATCAAGGGTTCCAAAATGGATGTACAAATAGTTGGTTTTAGTCAGAGTATCGTTGTGCAAGTCAAACCAATGACAACTAACCATTAAATTAATGATTCAGTCAGTCAGCTACAACGTAGAACTACGCATACATATGCTTTGGTCTAAGTTGACACATCCTATTGGCACAAAAAGATGAACATAAAATTCATATAAGTAATTAATTCAATGGTAGTAATATATAAAGAAAGATAGCATATAAGGATATAATACGGAAAGAAAAAATTATTTTGTACAAAAAAAGATATAAAGCAATTTCAATCTCATAGTTTAAGAGAAGACAGATAGTGTATACACCTACGCTATTTTGATCGATTCTGAGCCATGTCACCTCGAGTCTCCAACAATTGGTTACGATAGCCACGCGGATCCGAACCAAGTAGTCTGCCTCTACCAAAAATGGCTAAGATTAAAACTTAGCCATGAAATGATCTTAATATTAAATGACCAATTAAAGAAAACTGAATGCTCTTAAACTAGGATGAAATAATTTGAATTACTTGAAATATAAAGAATTTTAAATGAAAAAAAAAGAAGCTATTCATTTTGGTATACTACAGTTTAACTTAATTTATAACACCAATCGTCATTTCGAATTGACTTAAACAGCATTTTAACGGTAACACTAAACCCATACACACACACACACTTAAAGTTCGTACTATTTCTATCAGAAATATCAACAACAAAATGTTTGTTTTTTTACAAGAATACAATTAAGAAACCATAAGTAATTGATGTATATAAAATACAAACTATCTTATTCTTCTTTCCCTTTATCTTCTCATTTCTACACTACATACTAAACCTAACTGTACTCATAAATAGTTCGATTTCTTTTTGAGCAGAAAAAAATTTTAAAAAAAATAGATCACTTTGAATTCACAAGAGAATATATGTAAAACAGTTCACTTATTTTATACATTGATATATTGTTTTAATATATCATTGTGTTAAATTGTCATTTCACTTAAATCTTGAAATCTTATAGAATATATACATTTCAAAATTCAATGGTGCATAATGTGTTAAATTATAATATAATAGTATAATAGTATAGTTTATAAAATGTAACTATACATTGAACTATATCGACAAATTATTCTAGTTAGTCTATCGTGATAATATAATGAGGTCAATCATAGAAGTAAATGAAATGATGATAGTATTTATTATAGTTTATTTTAATTTAAGCTTTTTTGAACTTCTTATAGTTTTGAATGGATGATTATTTTTATTGTAAATTTTCTTTATAATTTTTTTGTTAAGATCATGAATTGATCACTGTTAAACTACTACTGAAAATCTGGAAGCACTGGACAACAGTTTTATCCTAGTATATAACTTCTTAACAGTGCATATCTATTAGGTTCCGATAAACATAATAAATGGTAAATTTGGAATCTTTTTATGGACCAATACTATATGTTAAATAACTAAACTATTCATATTCATATTTCTCTTATTATAAACTTTATTTTGACCTATGAACCATTATACGTTTTACCATTCTTGAATTATGCCCTGTCTATTAATTACTACCTCCTACATTCACAGCCAAATTTTGTACAAATGCTATTTTCTATTTTATGCTACGTTGTGGTCTGTTTGATTAGTATATAAACTCAGTGTGTTTGAAATATAAGGACTCATATTGCAGAGGCTGAGACTGGTGTTCTGGACTTAACTGGCTGGGCTAGGTGGAAAGCAGGACCAATCAGGACTCTAGGCTGCTCGAACGTGTTTTACGCGTTCTTGGTCCGATCGACAATTCACTGCTTCTGATTGGCGGCTCTGGGCTATAATAATATTTACGACACCCCACGAGACATTTGGGCTCAGGATCTTCAATATCGGGTGAATGCCTAACCTTTATGATATGCCAGAGTGAAAAAAGGATCTATTTATATATTCTTATTGTATAACTATCAAGTAACTATATTAAATGTATATTTATATTCCCTTTATTATAAGCTTTCGTTTGACCTATTGAATACTACAATACGATTTACTATGCTTAAGTTATTCTCGAATTATTAGTTACAGTATCTCACACTCATAGCCACTTTTGGACTGATCATGTATAATTGCTATTTTCTATTTTAGGATATGATGATGTATTTTTTGTTTATATAAAAGTCACGTATGTCTGAAATACATGATTTATGGAACGGAGGCTGCTATTTGTGTACTGGACTATACTGACTGGGTTAGGAGAGAAGCCATTTTCTCGCAGAATCAATAAGACTCAGAGTTAACTCCGGGCTCCTCGTACTAGTTTATGCGTCATTGGTCTAGTCAGTAAGTTGGTGGTTTAATTG